CATTGCCGGTTTAGCCAAAATAGCTTTTGATGGTGCAATGTCAAGGCAAAACATTTTATCAGCATTTTAAAAAACGGGCATTAACCCCTTCAATCCGCAAATATTTTCAGCTGACGATTTTCTGATGTCTGCAGTTACCGACCGTCCACAACCAGAACAAATCAACGAGGCAACTGAACCTACGCCCTCAACCTCATCTTTATCTGCAATTTCCGCTACACCTATAAATTCTGCACATAACGACTGTCTTGTAACTCCTGAATCTGTGATGCCATATCCGAAGGCAAAACCTCGAACTGCGTTAAAACGGGGACGTGCCAAAGGAACTACACGAATATTGACAGAAACTCCGGAAAAAAATGAAATAGAAAGGTTGTAAAATAAAAGAGCTATCAAAAAATGCCTAAAGTTAAGAGGAACGTATTTAATGACAGTCAAAAAAAGATGAAGAAAAAGAAGACAAAGCCAAGCATACCAGAAGATAGTGAAAGTGACGAAGTTAGTGATGAACTGCCGGACTCAGACATTTCCGAATACGATCCAGAAGATGACCTCAGACCTGCAGATTTTGATCATTCTGCAACCTGTTCTGGAGTTGGAGATTATGTAATTGTCAAATTCCCCACAAAACGAACATGTCTTCACTATGTTGGTAAAATACAAAATGTAAATGAACAAGGAAATAATTGTGTTATAAATTTCTTACGCAAGAAACCAAATTCAAACACGTTCTTTTTCCCTGAAACTTTAGATATTTCAGAAGTGAACTTTTGCGATATAGTTTTACGTTTAAGTCCCCCGAACAACGTAGCTGGTACCAGCAGAACTCAAAGTTTTTTTAATTTTGATATTGACTTGAGCAATTTTGAAAATCTAAACTAAAAATATGTTTTTTTATTTGTGTCACATGGAAATGTTTTTTTTTGTTTATTCCTTTAGATTAAAATTTTTTGTGTTATATTTTCATATTTACTTTTACTTTGTATGCAATAAACATCTATATAATACAAAAATCTTTAACAATTACCCATAAAACAGCACCAACAACAGTGACCCATTTGACCCCAATACCTGATTCAAACATCCCATAATAAGGGAGGTTTGGGTCAGGAGGTAACTTCTAGAATTTTTGTATTTTCAAGTGGTCCTATGTAGCAATACAATTTTTTTTATTGGACGTTGATGGTCAAACATTACTATTTACTATTTACTATTTACTATTTTCCAAAAGAATGGGACCAATCAAAAGCTGCTAAGCGTGATTGGTTGCTAGGTTTCATGAAGCGGCATCCTCAGATTTCTATACGACAACCTGAAGCAACTAGCCTAGGAAGGGCGACAAGTTTTAATGCCCATAATGTTGGTAAATTCTTTGAAAATTTAAATTATATTTTAGAAAAGTTTAAATTCTACCCGGACAATATATATAACTGCGACGAAACGTCTGTTACCACAGTACATAAACCCCCAAAGGTACTAGCAGTTAAAGGTCAGAAGCAAGTGGGACAGGTTACCTTTGCGGAGAGGGGTACGCTAGTAACGATGTGTTGCTTTATCAATGCAGCCGGAAACACGATCCCTCCAGTTTTCGTTTTCCCAAGAAAAAGATTTATTGATAATATGCTTATCAATGGACCAGACAATAGTCTTGGGTTAGCGCATAAATCGGGCTGGATGACGAAAGAAAATTTTGTTATAACACTAAAGCATTTTATCAAATATTCGAAGGTGTCCAAGGAAAATTCTTGCCTGCTTTTACTCGACAATCATGAAAGCCACGTCAATGTGGAAGTTGTTTCCGAAGCCAAAGAACACGGTGTCCACCTTTTAACATTCCCACCGCATTGCAGCCATCGTCTGCAACCGCTGGACGGCCCGTTTAAGGCACGCTACAATGCAGCTTCTTCCTCTTGGATGACATCAAATTCTGGACTAACCATAACCATTTATCACATTGCCGGTTTAGCCAAAATAGCTTTTGATGGTGCAATGTCAAGGCAAAACATTTTATCAGCATTTCAAAAAACGGGCATTAACCCCTTCAATCCGCAAATATTTTCAGCTGACGATTTTCTGATGTCTGCAGTTACCGACCGTCCACAACCAGAACAAATCAACGAGGCAACTGAACCTACGCCCTCAACCTCATCTTTATCTGCAATTTCCGCTACACCTATAAATTCTGCACATAACGACTGTCTTGTAACTCCTGAATCTGTGATGCCATATCCGAAGGCAAAACCTCGAACTGCGTTAAAACGGGGACGTGCCAAAGGAACTACACGAATATTGACAGAAACTCCGGAAAAAAATGAAATAGAAAGGTTGTAAAATAAAAGAGCTATCAAAAAATGCCTAAAGTTAAGAGGAACGTATTTAATGACAGTCAAAAAAAGATGAAGAAAAAGAAGACAAAGCCAAGCATACCAGAAGATAGTGAAAGTGACGAAGTTAGTGATGAACTGCCGGACTCAGACATTTCCGAATACGATCCAGAAGATGACCTCAGACCTGCAGATTTTGATCATTCTGCAACCTGTTCTGGAGTTGGAGATTATGTAATTGTCAAATTCCCCACAAAACGAACATGTCTTCACTATGTTGGTAAAATACAAAATGTAAATGAACAAGGAAATAATTGTGTTATAAATTTCTTACGCAAGAAACCAAATTCAAACACGTTCTTTTTCCCTGAAACTTTAGATATTTCAGAAGTGAACTTTTGCGATATAGTTTTACGTTTAAGTCCCCCGAACAACGTAGCTGGTACCAGCAGAACTCAAAGTTTTTTTAATTTTGATATTGACTTGAGCAATTTTGAAAATCTAAACTAAAAATATGTTTTTTTATTTGTGTCACATGGAAATGTTTTTTTTTGTTTATTCCTTTAGATTAAAATTTTTTGTGTTATATTTTCATATTTACTTTTACTTTGTATGCAATAAACATCTATATAATACAAAAATCTTTAACAATTACCCATAAAACAGCACCAACAACAGTGACCCATTTGACCCCAATACCTGATTCAAACATCCCATAATAAGGGAGGTTTGGGTCAGGAGGTAACTTCTAGAATTTTTGTATTTTCAAGTGGTCCTATGTAGCAATACAATTTTTTTTATTGGACGTTGATGGTCAAACATTACTATTTACAACTGTCCAATATTAAAATGTTTTATGTCTTATTTCCAAATACACTGGCAAATTGTTTGAAAAGTGACCCAAACATCCCCACTCTCCCCTACATGTTACGGTTAAATTTGCATTGATGTAGACAAAAAAGAAAAAATATTTTTTTTTTAATGTAAATGGATGTAACTGAATATTTGAACGTAGTTTTTAGTTCTAGTTAACTTTTCTTTATAACAATTTTCGATATTCTCAAAAATAAAGGTACTTTACTCCTGAGCCAAATTCCTATTTTTTGACATACCCCGTATACGACTAAAAAAATTTAATATTTGTGGGTTGCATTTTAAGTTTTACACCATGCAGAACTTTTTATAAAGAATAACTTTTTTCCTAAAATTAATAATAAAAAAGTTTTCCATATGATTCCAAGATACTGAGACATACTGTATATATATATGTTATGGCTAATGTACAAACTTGGATAGTTTATAAACTAGCTGGATAGTTTATAAACTAGCCAAACTGTCAGCTATTTTAATTGAAAATGAATTTTCAACTAAATTAGCGGCTAGTTTACAAAATACTTGAAATTATTAGGGAAACTAAAATAGCTGGATAGTTTGTATACTATCCAATTCAGTTTGGCTAATATGAAAACCAAAATTTCTAGTAACACAAAATAGCCAAGCTTTAGCTAGTTTGTAAACTAACCAACCAATTCTCTGGCTAATTTATTAAAAAAGTGAGGTTACGGCATTGTTTTTCGTTTTGCCGGCTTAACCGGATTTGTTTTGTGCATTTTAACGTTTTTAAAATGAATCATAGGCAAAATTTTAACGCGTCCTTGTTAGAAAACTCAACAACACAACCCTACCGACCCCGCCCCATTGGTCAAATGCCCTGCTTAAAATACCCCATAGAGACCCTGTTCAAACCGATAGATATTTGTATCGGAATGTATGGGATTCTATAGGGTGTATCGGTATGTATAGGACCCATAGTTGGAATTTATGGTTGTTCAATAGGGATATCCACCCTTGATTTATTTGCTATTGATTTTAATGGGGAAAATACACATAAATGTAGAAATTAGTTTTTCCCCCATAGAACCCTATAGGTTTTAATAAAATTTTGACAAATGTTTTATGGTTGCTCTCGGTCTCAATAGGGAAAATGTAAAATTTATGGTGTTCCTATAGGTAATTTCCTATAAATTTTCTATCGGGTCGTATCCGGAAAAAACCATGGACAAATGCACATATTGAATCCGGTAGCGCCCGATAGATTATTTTGTATGGGTCTCCATGGGGTATTTTAAGCAGGGTGGTCAAAAATGAGAGAAAAAAACCCAAACCAACCCAAACTCAACAACGCAACCCAACCGACCCCGCCCCATTAAGACCCCCCCCCCCGCCCCATTGAGCAAAAAACCCAACTAAAATGGGCAATACCCAGAGAATTAGTTGGTTAGTTTACAAACTAGCTAAAGCTTTAGCTATTTTGTGTTACTAGAAATTTTGGTTTTCATATTAGCCAAATTGAATTGGATAGTATACAAACTATCCAGCTATTTTAGTTTCCCTAATAATTTCAAGTAAATTAGCCAAGATCCTTGGTTATTTTGTAAACTAGCCGCTAATTTAGTTGAAAATTCATTTTCATTTAAAATAGCTGACAGTTTGGCTAGTTTATAAACTATCCAAGTTTGCACATTAGCCGTAACAAAATATATATATATATATACGCCACTTACAGGTAGGTACTTAGGCAACCGGAATAAGCTTCTTTTGAAACATTGCAATTTTAAATCCCATTTAACCTAGCTCTTATCACTAAAAGTTAAACTTAAGATAAATACCATATACCTTTGCTCTGCCGTCAGCTGTTTTGTTGTCATCATAGTTGGATGGAATAGTTGCCACTCGATACGAATCGGAGCGTCCGTGCTGCAAAAACAAGCCACTACGATCTAGACATTCTTTTTATACATACCACAATGTTTAAGAAGAGAAGATCAAATCTGCATAGATAATGCTTTATAAGCCATACAAAGAATGGACTGAATTTTTACATATAAATAACAACTTTTTGTCCCATTTATACGGTCATGTTTATAAAATTATTTTTTTTTGCATATACAGAACATTAAAATAACTGTTCGAAATTTGTAGACAATGGTTTCATATTTTTTTTAACTTCCTGGACTAACATCATCTAAAAATTGTTTATTAACACGACGTTTCAATTGCTAGTAGATCTGCAATCGTTATCTTCGTTATCATTCACTTGATAACGATTGCAGATCTACTAGCAGTTGAAACGTCGTGTTAATAAACAATTTAGATAATGTCAGTCCAAAATTAAAATAACTATTTAACCTTTAATTAAACTTAGGGCCGGTTTATCAATCTCTGGTTAAGTTCCAGTTAGTCCATCTGACAGTTAAATTTCATATCGATCGTTGTGAGAACAATGGTATCCATGGAAATTATCTACCAGATAACTAACTGCAACTTTAACTGGACATTGATAAATCAGCCCTTAAACATGTTAGTTTTAACTTTTAGTTTAAGTTTTAGAGTTTTTATATTAATGTATTTTTTAAATAAATGTTGTCTATTTTTACTTTATTATCAAACTGGTTATTTATTTTTTAATATGTAATAAATAAATATTAAATCTTTATACAAGGGTTGTGAACCGTAACAAAATTTCGGTCCATGGATCGGTTCACCAGCTCGCTTCAGCGGTTCAGTTCCAAAAACGGTCCATGTAACCGGACCGTTTGTGTTGGACCGGTCCAGCTAAAAAAGGTTCGTTTGGAGGTCCGTTTTGGAACATTGATACTGTGAACCGCCAAAGAAATGATAAAATTCAGTTGAATAATAAATTGGATAAATTATTTTATCTACTCCTACATTGACGAACTGTGACTTAATATCGTTTAGTCACGGGCTGAAGTTAGCAGCATTGGCTTTTGGGCATTTTATTTACGGGCTGAAGTTAGCTTTATTATAAATTGGGGAAAAGTGAGGTTAAATCCGTTGAAAGTTGACATATGTCAAATGTTTAACAAATAAAATTTGCTTTAAATTTTTTTTTGTGTTCGTCGTAGATAATACATAGTATTCAACTCGTTTTATAAACTTTTCTGGAAACTCGTTTTTATTAAACACTCGCTCGCAAGCTTCGGTTGTAACTAGTAACTAAAATGGCGTTTATAAAACTTGATACAAAATATACTTTTATCTACTCCTACTGCTTAATATTTGGTTTTTCTGTATATAATGATAAACATTATAAATTCCCTGCCTAGCAACGGGAATAATGAACTCATTATTCTTATATGCCTAAATTACAGCTGTCAAAATTACAGGTGCCAAAAAAGGCTCTTAAATGACAGGTGCCAAAATAACAGTTGTTAAAATGACGACTGTCAAAATAACAAGTGTAAAAATGGCAGGTGCGAAAATAACAACTATCAAAATGACAGGTGCTAAAATGACAGGCTAAAATAACAACTGTTAAAATGACAAATGACACCTGTTAAATTAACAGGTGAGTAAGATCACCTCAAGTGGACCCCCCATTTCCCACTTGATCGTGGAATTCAAATAAATATATTTTATCTCCACGCGGTCTATAATTTAAACTTTATTGTTGTCAACATTCGATAAAGAAATACCTTGTTATGGCCTAGACCGATAAAAAATTTTATGAGGCAAGTAATTAGTTCGATTTTCTCTCGCTAGGGGTATTGTTTTGACAAATTAATCCTTTTCTAAGAAATTAACGTACTAAACTGGTTTAATTTATTTATAATAAGCACTAATTTGTTTGTTTTACTGTTAATGTTTAATATTTTTCATTAAATTATTGTAAAATTAAATATGAATAATAAAACAAAAAGTGAGGTTAGGCAACCAAGACAACGCACGATTCTTTTTCTACGATTTAAATTATCTTTAAGTTTTAATTTGCTTTAAGTTTTCAGTGAAATTAAATGTTAAACACAGCCTAAACATTCCAAACTACCTATTTTTTAAATAAAAATCCAAACAAATTGAAATTAGATACCTATACAATTAATTGAATTCAATGTAATAGCAAAAATCCATTTCTACTTAAATCATGTAGCTAGGTATTGTCAAACTATTACTGCTTCTAAAAGCAATAATAATTATTGTACATTTAATGTAATCTTTAGCTAATAAATAAATGAGATACTAAAAAAGTGAGGTTAGGCCGCTTTGATGTTGAATTAAATTGACCTATATAAAGTGCTTTTATGTGCTTCGCTCAATTGTAGGCCTCCGCTACGCGTCGGCCTTCAAACCTTGAGCTTAGCACAAAAAGCCTTACTTCTTAACCTAATGACATAAATAACTATTAATATCACCATCAATAATAAAATCCTAAAACAGTTTTTTTACAATGAAAATTTTGGAGGCTGTTAATTAAAAAATAGATAACAGAAAAACCGTTAGAGATATTTGAAAGAAATTTTCAGGATTTATTGTTTAATATTCACATTTTGAAAAACAATTCAAAATTTTAAATTATTTATTTATTGTCATATTTTTAATTACCTTTTAAATAAACAAATGAAAATTTTAATGACTTGTCCCTCAAATTATAAATTTGTTTTATTTCAGTTACATGCATTGTACACTTTAGTTAAATATTCTGCACGAAAATTCCACTGCCCGCTATAAGTTTAAACAATATGAATTTTTTTATCTCCGAGCGCGAGCCCTTTTGGTATAGCGCGCTGCCGCGCGCCGTAGTCTCGGCATCCGCTCCAATCAGTATTAATAAATAATAAACTGTCGTTTACAATAAAAAGCAATGTTTTTTAAGAAATATAATTTTTTAATGTTATAATTATAACAATTTATTTAAAATTATTTAAAAATAATCATCAAGCTATTGAACCAAAGAACATAAACATGACTAAAATTGTTTATTGACTAAACTAGATTATTTTGAAAATGACTTCTCAAAAAACACAAAACACACATGGAATGCGCTGCGTCATTATCTCGCAAATCTTGCGAGATCGCGCATTATTTTTCGTGCAAGACTAATTAGTGCGAGATCTTGGTATTTCGAGATCTTGGTATACCGAGATTGCATTCCCTAGTGGACAGCTCTCGCGCTCGGGGATAAATAAATTCATATTGTTTAAACTAATAGCGGGCAGTGAAATTTTCTTGCAAAATATTTAACTTGAGTGTACAATGCATGTAACTGAAAAAAAAAACAAATTTATAATTTGAGGTAAAAGTCATTAAAATTTTTATTTGTTTTTTAAGATAATTAAAAATATGATAATAAATAAATAATTTCAAATTTTGAATTATTTTTCAAAATAAGAATATTAAACAATAAATCCCAAAAATTTCATTAAAATATCTTCAACGGTTTTTCTGTCATCTATTTTTTAATTAAAAGTCACCAAAATTTGCATTGTAAAAAAAATGTTGTTAAAATGAAGATAATAAATGGATTGTAAAAATCATTTGTTATTTACGTTTATATATAAAAAAACAAATGAAGATAATTTAAAAAAAACAATAAAAAAGTAGGTATCTCGCTATGGGATATTTATGTTTCATTTAATTATTTGTTTATTTTTACACTCTTTATTTACAAATAAAAACAAATATAATATCTATTTGTTAGCGCAGGGCTCCCAGCAGTCCATGTTGCGAGAAATAGTGACTTAAGAGACTAATAATAGAAAATAAACGACCAAATACAGACCAAATTAATTACCGAAATAACTATAAAATGGCCATTTTATAGTTATTTCGGTATACATTTTTTTGGGATAAAAGATCTAAATTTGAATTTAAAATATATAGAGATAACTTGAAATTATAAATTTTTATTGAATTAAATTTAACAAGTAACCATAACTGATATAAAATACATAAAAAATATTAAATTCTATAATAAATTATAACTTATAATAAATAGAATCACATTTATATAAAAGGCACTGGCATCAGTCATTTAATGGGTTATATTTTTTTTGGTGGGCTGCAGCTGATCTATAATTTTCGCCTTTCGTTTTTCTAAATCTTGGGCAAGACGACTAATCTTGTAAGTTACTTTCCCCGCTTCTTTTTTGGGATGGTTCACCCCTTCAAACATTAGTTGAGCCATACATATTTTAACATTTTTATTTGTTTGCAACAATACGTTCTTCATGGTCTTTTTTATTAAAAATAAAACAATAATTCGTTTATTATTCCTTTTCCCGAAAACGGTTATTTTATTTAATATAAAACAATAATTCGTTTATTATTCTTTTTCTCGAAAACGGTTCATTTTATTGACAATAAACAATAGTACCTTTATTTTAGTTTAAGGTTCACGCTACGCAAATTTAGTTTTTTTAAGTCTTTACATACGGAGTTTTCAAAATTTAAGCATTAAGGTGTAAAACTTAGTCCGCCCCTGGTAAACAAAAAAAGTAAAACAGGTTTCAAGAACACTACTTTAAGAGGTCCCTACCAGGGTCCATCATATTAAATTTTTATTAAATTATATTCAATACTTTAAAAGTTATTCATGGAAAACCAATTTGCAGGGGCGTCCTTTCGGAGCCCATGTCTCCGTAAGGAGGGCCAGTAGGAAATTTTTTTATAGGAATGTGTCATCTTATTTTTTCATATTCTATCTGAATCCGAGATATTTCCCACATTTTTCCGGACACCCTGTATAGGTAGTGTTAACCTAGCGAACCGAAACTATAAACGTAAACGAAACCCTAGACCAAACCAGAAACAATTCAGCAATAATATTGGCGGGCGGTTCGGGTCTGGACGGCGGGAACTTTAAATGTAAACTGCGAAGTTTTCGAATGTTTCACTTGGTTTACTGTGGTTTCGATATTTATAAAACTGTGAATATTTATATTTAAAAAAAATATTTTTTA